AGGCTTTTACCAGAACTATGAGAACTCTGTAAATTTCTGTGTACCTCTCCATGGCCATTAAACCCTTCTTAAAGAGGGATGGAGGAGGCCGTTCTTGAACGTTCGGCTTCCTGCTGAAATCTCTGAGAAAACGTGGCCCTGTAATCATGAGAAGTGGGTGGTTACTTTCTAGCCGTTAGATAACGACACTTTCTCTCTTTAAGAAGCCTCCCTTTTTTAGTGATAGGCATTAAATTATAAGAAAGAGAAATATTGCACCTTTAAAGGCCTCATGGCCACACACACGTACCAACAGGCAAGCCCTAATAAACTAGGGTCTCGGCTAAAAAATGTTGCGTGAGGTCTAGGCCTGGGTTGGGCACCCACTTCTGAGGATAGGGCCGAGCCTAGCTTAGGCCAAGGACGGTTTCGGCCCATCTGGCCCTATTTATTTTTGCGTTCTTATTTTTTATTTTATTTTTTATCTGGGCTCATGCCAAGGCCAAGCGGGCCTATGCCAACCCATGAGAATTAGGGTCAAGCTAGGGCCCAGGGTAATTCGGCCCAGGCCCAACCCTTTGCCATCCCTAATCTCCACTCAACTGCTCAAAAAGAAAAGGAAAGCTCGATGCTTATGGATTCACATTAAGCCTAAAGCAAGTTGCGGAAGTTACAAGCCATCGAGAAAGCATTCGCGCGAGAGGCCACATAAAGCTGTCATGCATATAAGGCCCATTTGGACTTCAACGACGAGAGTGTGAAAGAAGGAAAGAACAAGGAAAAAGAATAACGACCTGACGTGTTCCCCCTGACCTGTATAATTCCCAAATCTCTACAAGTTTGCTCGTTAGAGCATGTTAGGTTGACACGAATTATCTTATGCGGTTAGTTATGAGAAAACAAATTTGTGTGAAATTTTTTTGTTCATTTAATTAGGTGTAGGAATATTGCTGTAAAAAGATGCACTAAGTCCAATGAGTATGAAAATATTTACGCCCTTAACAGCATGAAGAAAATTTTTTTATATAAGAAATTTTTTTGAGATATATTTTCACGTGAAACAAATATGCCATTATTAATATTTTATAAGCATATATCCTTCTATAAAGTTGAATGGAAAGTGTATTATTGAGGAAAAAAATATAGATCATTTGTAGAAAAAAAAAGAAGGAAAATTATCAGTATACCCACATGAACTATTTAACATTGTGCTATATTGTTTGATTTAATTTCAAATATCTATAAAAAGGTACATGACCATGAGTTGGAATGGTTTTAAAAGTGTATAATGCTAAATAGTACATCTCTAATCGATATTTTGATAAATTTCTCCAAAAAGTAAAACCAACTAGCCTCTGTTTTTTTTTCCACTTTTGGAAGTGCATAAACCAGTATTACAGTTAACAAAACTAATATTATTTTCGTTGGTGCATAAACTAATATGAACGCGGGTAACATGCCCCTATTAGATTATACGGCACACTCCCTCATTCGACAGAGCCACTTTGGAGGATTTTTAGCCCCTCAAGTTTCAAGATTCACCTAAGATTCACGAGATGATTATTTCTTGAAAAAAGTTGATTTTAAACACAGATTCTCTCTCTAAAATACTTAGTAGTCTCTCTATCAGTGTTAACATTATTGTTTAAGGCACGTATAGAGTGCATTTGACTTTATGTTGGTGACTAGGTTGAGGAGGTTACATGTAGGAAATTAAATGTACTTATTAATTTAATTTTACTGAAAGGAAATGGAAGAGGTTATATCTATTAGAAATTATTAGGTGAAACATGGCAAAATAAGGAGAGTTATAAAAACTTTTGTTTTGGTCCAAAGAAAAAACCTTAATTTTTCTATTTTCAGGTGTCCCAATACAATATTTTCCTGTACTTGATATGAATCAATGTGCATCTAAGATTAATTAATAAACCCAATGCTCATTGTTGGAGCTAAGAGAGTCTAACGGATATCAACTCACTTCACTTGTGTAGGCAAAGGGCACCTCTCGTGCTTGTGCAAGCATGCGTAGTGCCCCTCACATGCTTTGCATGTTTCACAAGGCCTTGGTTCTTAGATTGCAATGGAAGAGGCCACTCACAAATTTAAGCACGATTGTGATTTCTCCATTATTCAATATGAACAAGAAACCCATCATTATCTTTACAAATGAGACAAATCACAGTTTCCAAAATATTATAGTTTAGAAGCGGTTTGTGTAGAGCTGAGGCTTTAAACAATCACATTAGAGCCCAATTTCAAATAGTGTCAAAAAATGTGGTTTTAATACTAGAAATCTTTGTGATAGCCTTAAAATATATTTTCGTCTTTAATTATAAAATTTAAGGCTTTAAAAATAATGTAGATCGAGCATATTTATGAAAACTTGTAAAACTTGAAAATTGACAGTCCAAATATATATTACAAGATGTATTATTTCCAAAACTTGAAATCTATTTTTTTTTTATGTCCATGTATCTTGATGCCGAGATAATCAATATGGGGATATTTGGGCATCAAAACAACCTCTTCTAGTAAAATTTTTAAAGTACAATTTTTAAAGTGGACTCTAATTTGATCGGCTCTATGTAAACTTTTCCCTTCATTTTATAATGGCACCTAATATTCCCCGTATCAAAAATTCAATGATATCGGGGCCCAAAGTACTCCTAATATAAATTTTTTGCAGGAGTGAACGGAAAAACGCACTCATGGTATCTTTTATTTTATTTTATTATTATTATTATTTTTCCGGATATGGTGGCATAGAACCTTTAAACAGCTGTAAAACAAAAACATTATGAATGAAGTAGAGACTCCAAGAACTTAGAGGAGCCGACCCTCCTATAAAATGTACAAAGGAATGATACATCGCATTAACCATTAGTAGCTTTTATGAAGGGTTCCCAAGAGGCCAAGATAGACTTTTACATCTTTTCACTTTCACATATTCACTTAAAAGCAATAGAGTAAAAACTTTGATATGGAGCAACATGAATTGTTATTTGGACCCGTTTTCTAAGAGGCCAGGCCCGCATATGTAGAAATGCAAGCCTCTTAATAAATTTATTTTTGAGATAGATTTTAAGACTTAATTTTTAAAGATATAAAATCTCTAATGGAGATCATGAATATGAAAAAATAAATGAATTTTAAAAACTAAAAATAATAACTCTAGTAAGAAAACATTTGGACTGATAGTTTTCATTATTTTTAGACGGAATACCTACTTGCATCCATCTTTAAAATAGATGCTTTACACTTTCTGGACTATATATATAGAAATACGGTCTAGCCCCATAAAACAATTTTCCCTGCTATTTTGCCATTAAGTCCATGGGGTTGATTGATTGATTGACGAGATGTGAATGCGTTATGCTAGATCTGAAGACAATAATATTTAAGGGCATTACCTCACTTCAGATCTACTTCTTTGATTGGTGCGGTTTGTATAGAGCCTAGGCTCTAAACAATCAAATTAGAGCCTACCTTCAAATAGTGTCGAGAAATGTGGTTTTAATATCGAAAATCTTTGTGATAGCCTTACAATATATTTTTATCTTTATTTATAAATTTTAAAGCTTCAAAAATAGTGTTGATCAACACTATCTATGAAAAGTTGAAAATCTTGAAAGTTGACGGTCCAAAAATGTGTTACAAAATACACTATTTCCAAAACTTGAAATCCATTATTTTCTCATGTCCATGTATCTTCATGTCGAGATGATCAATTTGAGGATATTTGGGCATCAAAACAACCTTTTCTAGTGAAATTTTTGAGGTAGGCTCAAATTTGATTGTTTAGAGCTTCGGCTCTATATAAACTTTTCCCTTCTTTGATTGTAAAGACATAGGCAGAAGGTCTTTCTTAAAGACACGAGTCCTAGGATTTATATGTATATATACGTCCCCTCTTGAAATATATTTTGAGATGGATTTTAGACCTATTTTTCAGGTATATATTATCTTTAACATGGACATCATGGACATGTAAAAAATTAAAGTTTAAAAATTTAAAATGATATTTTAAAGAAAAATTTTAAAGTTAAGCCAATTATACCTCAAAGCACAAAGAACTTTCACCTTTTAAAAGTTAAAGACCATTATAACAATGCCAAGGAACCATAAACAAGGGTTTGTTCTAAAAGTTATGCTTATGTAGATGTAGTAGTGAACAATGGTAATGTTCGCTTTTCCACTTTGTACCATGCATGTTCCACACTTAGCCATGAGGATCTAACTGTCTAAATTAATGTTTAAAAATATGGATCGGTGTCTCGAATATGCACATTCATATTTGTGTCGGACCAGGGGAATCGATGGATCGGATTGGAAGAATCGGCGGAATTGATATTTTTTCTCCCAAAATGTTTTTAAAAATAATTCAAGAAAAAACTTTTTTTTTTTTCTTGATTTGGTGAAGAATCAGTCGGAATCAGTGAAGAACCGGTTTGACTCTATAAAATCATTAGAATCGGCGGTTCCGCGAAAAAATGAGTGGTTTTTTATCGGATCCATAACTGTCACGGTGATTCCCTTTCTAGGTCGCCCGATTCAAGATCGGGTCATCAATTTTTAAATCACTGGTCTAAAACCCACCATGGAACTTCGAGCATAGTTTTGGCAAATTTAATGTTACCCAACGAAACATCTGATAACGTAAACAAGGAAGATCGTGTGTAGGGTACCTTTCGTGGGATACTTTTGCAACAGCCCTACGTAGGAGGATTTTGTGGGTCCGAAATTTTGGAATTTTCTTTTGAATGAGTAGATGACTAACTTAAGGAAAGAATATAAACTTTGAGTTCCTAAACACTTGGAAAATTTGTGCTAACCTCATATAGATGATTTTTTTTTTTTCAAGGAAAAAATAACACAAGGAAAAAGGTCCAACAGGTAGGATAAGATGAGCATGTCTTTACTTTTCTACCCTTTATCTTATTTTTATTCCCTATGCCAATTCTACAAACAAAAGCAAGTTGCTTGCAACAGGGAAAGAGAACTGTAATGATACTTATTAAAGATGTTTGTTTTGTCAGATGAACCCTAATATATTTATAAGTTGATGGGGTGTGGGAAAACTGAGAAGCTTCTCCAATGGCTTCTTATCGTTTTCTTCTCTTCCTTGTTCATCTTTTGATGACAATCCCAGAGATTAGCCAGTCCAAGCCCATGCGTTGCGATTGTGGTAGCTTTCCTTCCACATTTGCAAAAAACAACCTATCGCTTTGCAAGAATCTGAGAGAATTTGATGGGGTTTTTGGGTGGAAGATTGAAGGAGGAAAGATTGGCATTGGCTTTAAGGCTCGAAAGGCCGGGTCGACCGGGTGGGTGGCTTGGGGAGTTAACTTCCAGTTGCCTATCATGGTCGGTACACAGGCAATTGCTGCGCTCCCGATGGCCAATGGGAGCATCCAATGGCAGACCTATAACCTTATCCCGGAATACACCTTGATGGGAAACCCGCTTCCTTTGGCACCTGCCCCCATAGAAATCACAGCAAATGTTACAGAAATCCAAAATGAAGGTGGATTCATAACATTGTTTGCTACCATTTCTCACCACCGGTTTCACGACGAAAACTACACCATTAACCACCTGTGGCAGGTGGGCTCGCGCGCCGATGACATCATACTCCACAGGCATCCCATGAGTCTGAAACATTTCGATAGTCGGGAGAGACTCGACCTTATGTCCGGGGAGACACTCTTGCAGAGTAGCACTCACCGCATCAATTCCATCCGCACAGTAAGGCTATTTCTTGTTACTCATTTCTTTGTTTCTTTATGTGTGTGTGTTAATATTACTGCCATTGCTGTAAGTGTTGTCCTTGTTGTCGATAGTATCACTATTGTCATAGCCATAGGAAGCCACTTCCCCTCTAGGTTGACCATGCGAGCATAAGAGAATGGATCAATTAGTTAAGTAAAATAGTTTCATGCGGGAGAAAACAACCCTTT